ATTCTGGGCTACTCACGTTCAAGCAACGGGACTTCGACGATGAGCTCGCAAAGGGGACCAGATCATTTTTCGACGACGAGCGACTGCTCTTCTGGATCGAAGCACTTGGACTTCTTAATGCAATCAGGGGTGCAATTATTGTGCTTCCGCTTGTTGCCAAGTGGCTGAAGGTGAGCACATGCCTATGAGTCAGTGTCGGATGAGCAGCTCATGAATACATACAGGGCCATTCTGGATACGAAGATTTGCGGACGACCACGATGGATGTACAAAGATTCATGCAAGTGTTTGGCAGGATGATTTTGCACAGCACGCCACATCTGTATTTATCAGGGCTCCCATTCTCGCCGGTCAACTCCGCCATGGCTACCAAATTCACGTCAAGGTTTCCGAATAACCTTCGTCTGGCATGCGGTCGTGATTTGAACTGGACAGTCGTTCAGATCATAATCAATGGGCATACTGGTGGGGTTCGATCAGTTGCATTCTCACCGGATGGTACTCGCATCGCGTCTGGTTCGGCGGATAAGACTGTGCGGCTGTGGGATGCAATCACGGGACAGCCATTGGGTGAGCCCTTGGAGGGGCACACTAGAGAGGTTTGGTCAGTCTCGTTCTCACCGGATGGTACTCGCATCGCGTCTGGTTCTTTGGATAACACTGTGCGGCTGTGGGATGCAATCACGGGACAGCCATTGGGTGAGCCCTTGGAGGGGCACACTAGTTCGGTTTTGTCAGTCTCGTTCTCACCGGATGGTACTCGCATCGCGTCTGGTTCGGCGGATAACACTGTGCGGCTGTGGGATGCAATCACGGGACAGCCATTGGGTGAGCCCTTGGAGGGGCACACTAGAGAGGTTTACTCAGTCTCGTTCTCACCGGATGGTACTCGCATCGCGTCTGGTTCGGCGGATAACACTGTGCGGCTGTGGGATGCAATCACGGGACAGCCATTGGGTGAGCCCTTGGAGGGGCACACTAGTTTTGTTTACTCAGTCTCGTTCTCACCGGATGGTACTCGCATCGCGTCTGGTTCTTGGGATAAGACTGTGCGGCTGTGGGATGCAATCACGGGACAGCCATTGGGTGAGCCCTTGCAGGGGCACACTAGAGAGGTTTGGTCAGTCTCGTTCTCACCGGATGGTACTCGCATCGCGTCTGGTTCGGACGATAAGACTGTGCGGCTGTGGGATGCAGTGAAAGTACAGCTATCCTCCATGTCCAGCGAGCCAGATTCTTCCTCATTTTCACTCCATCGAAGCACTACACCTCCCACCCAACAAAACCGTACCATGCCAACCAGCACTTGTAACAATCACGTCATTTCCTTCTCGTCCAGCCAAGAACACGCCCTGCCCAATCCCGCTGACTTGCTGGAACCCACTTCTCATCATAATTCTAATTCAACACCTTTCTTGCTGCAGGCTGATGGATGGATCATGGGACCCAATCATCAGCTCCTTTTCTGGGTGCCTCCCGCTTCCCGACGTCCATTTTATACTCCTTGGACTTCATTGGTGATTCCCAGAGGACATCCCGAACTTGATTTGAGCCGCATGGCACATGGGACACACTGGTCGAGTTGCCGAGATGCGTTAGTTCTTTGTGTTTATCATCCGTCCTTGCAGTTACTAACATTAGGACTTCTAGCTCCATGTAACGATGATTTTATTGCCGCAACATCGGGTGTACCATTTGATTCTTTGATTCCTTGTTCATTTCTATACCTAGCACCGAGCCTGAATTTACGGTTGTCTGACTGACTGATGTACTGTACTTAGAGGTGTACTAGTTAAGACTTGCCACCTACTCTGGTCTAGGTACGTTCGCAGTAGCGTTTTCGAGCCATTTTCGTCGTCTTCTGTTTTGTACTTGCCAGTATTTCCACATGCGCACAGATTAAGTGGCGAACTCCGTGTCTTGGCAAGCAGATTGCTTGAGCAATTCTTGCATGTCAAAGTCATGGCCGCCATTCCCTGATGACTCCAAATAATCTGGTTGCACCATTATTGCTTGCCTTCGGCGCAGTACAGTTTCATCGACAACGTCATTTTTGACCAAAGACATTTACTACAATCTGGATTTGAAACAGGATTCCAACTATCGTGCGTGGAACAACAAGGCTACCTTCTACTCGATCGCCCCATCCTGAGCATCCCATGTGGTCTCTACAGTGAATCAACATCAATATATGTCTTGGTTGACGCACACAGTCTCATGACACAGGTATTTGAAGAGAATGGTGCTCCCGGACCTAGTAAATTTGAACAAGGTCGAAAACCTCTGCACCAAGCGAACGCTCTCGCAAGCGGAAATTGACCACCGGCTTCAGATGGTGCGCAAAGCTGCGCGGAAGGGATAGGTTGTATTTCTTGCTGCACCCAGACAAACTAAGTTGTGGAGAATGACGACACCCCCCTCCTCTACCTAAGCCCTTGCCTGCCTCTACACTCTCGAAGTCGGAATTACTAGGATAGCCTCGGGTCACGGCAGCCGCTGTAGGTGTTGGGGAAGATTGGAGTCATTGAACAAGCGAAGGGAACGCGCGAAGAAGGCAAAAGGTCGAGTGCGATTTGAAGTAGATGTGAACGCTGCTGGCCGCGGAGAGGGAAGCTGCATGAGAAGCATTGCAGCTCAGTGCTCCCACTTCATCGTCTATGACATGCCGCAGAGCGATTCACTGGTATTGTCTTCGCACTTTGCATTGATGACATTATGTTCTGTCTGATTTATTTCGGATCGGTGCAAGGGTTTTTTAAATACGACCTCTGAACAGATGCAGTGGTGCATTTGTTGCCTCATATATTATTCACTAGACGTCTGCTCCAACTTGCACATTCAGAATTTTAGCCCCTCCACGACTGCTGTTAAAATAAAGTTCGAACCACTTGAAAGATCACTATGTATAATTACATGGCCTATGGCCTCAGCATCATCTTCTACTTGGTCTGGCTAAGAAGACCGATACTAAGCGGGCGCACCGTGAGTTATACAAGTCCCCTACCACTCATCCTAACAGTATCTAAAACCACCCTCACCAACTCGTTCCACGACTGTCTCGTCACCGAATTGCCATGGGCTTCCAATAACCTCCTCCGTACCAAGTCCCGCCGCCGCCTCCGAAGGATCAGATATGTAAGGGGAATTAGGAAGAACACAACTGATGGTGGCTAATCTGTTTGTGGTGAAATAGTGGTTGAAATAAGATCGGATGGGTATTAGGGGGGTCGTGCAGTTGCGAGACTATGGCTGACTGGCGGGACGCGGGAGATAGGAATGCCACCGGTACTTGAGCTTCCTCGGGGCATGCTTCGGTTGTGGTGGTGGCGAGGGGATCTGGTTATGGTGGAGTCTGAAGCTGCTGAGGTAGAGGACGCAGATTGTTGACGGGTAAGTTTTGGACGGGGGGGTGCTGGGACGGTGGTACGAGTAGATGTTGTGGATAGAAAGGATGGGGAAGAGGCTGGTGATAGAGAGCGGGGTGAAGGTATTGGTGGAGTCTCGAGTTTTGGCGTCTCCCGCATTGTACTCTCTAACGCATGAGCATGCTGAGCCTCGAGGGCCAAATGAAGTTCCTGGTAATATTGAGTTCAGTACGACACAAGGATCATGAACTCACGCGTGTTTTGTCAGACGAGAGTTCATTGTCATAGGACAGAAACTCCCTGACGCACTCCCACTCGCACAAACGAGGTAAGATGTGCAAAGAGTAGAGTTCTAGGACATTGTGATATGGCTCACCGTGGAAGGTACAAAGTCATATTGACCGTGTTTTGATACTTATCTCATGACCAACATTCAAGGTATCTGGATGCCGTATGTGACGAGTGTGATGAGGACTTGGTGCGGAAGGAATACGGAGCTAGGTTTTCGATACAGAGACGAAGGAGTAAATAAAATGAGAGATCGAGTTGGGAGTCCGGAAACGAACCTTGGCAGAAAAAGGAAATCAGTTCAGAGGTTATATGACGCATAGCTTGCTGCTGTTACTGTCATGTATAATTTTATTCGTTCTAGGTGCACCGACCTTGGCTCCGTCTGCTTCGGGTGGTAATGTTAGCGCTACGGTAGCTGGTAAGGTCACAATCTCAATTATTCATCAACTGCTGCAATCTTCTGCTTCCGCCAGTACCTCAGGCGCGTCCACAACCGGTGTTATCGCTGTTCCGCTCTCTAGCTGTTCATTCACTCCCTATCCTACGCCTACTCTCAGCCCTCTCCCCCCAGTTTACCCTGCAACTGATCCTCTTACAATAGCATTGATCCACAAATCGTGCCCGATTTTGCGCCTGTGTGGGCTGCTACCTACCAAAAAGCCAAGAACCTTGTAAGTGCATACATTTTAATCATCGATTCTGTTGATTGTCTTTGCTGACCAAGAGGATTTGATCGCTGCTTGGGAGAACGGGAAGGCTTCACCCATCGCTGAAGGGTCTTCTACTGCGCTTTGGCGAGGTTCATTAAGACTAATGAAGGATCTGCGGGCTGATATCGTTACTTACCAGTCTCCAAGAGCCTGCATTCCAGGTAACTTTCAAGATCACGAACACTGGACCTGTATCTGGAATGGAGGTTCGTGACACCACTTAACTTCATTATCTCGATACTTACGCCCAAGTCACGCGAATAGACTCCTCGGTACATTCACTTCCTGTCTTCCGCTAGCGAGCCTCCATCAGTCCTAAAGGGTTTCACAAACGTCGAAATCTCGCCGTCCAGCACAGAACAAGCCTCGATCACGCTCTCGCGCTATGACCTGTCTATCTGGGACGTCGTCGCTCAGGGGTGGTGCGAGCCTGATGGCCAGATCTCGTTCTCTATCGGTGCGAGCAGTAGGGACTTTAGGCCACAGGGGAATATTCCTACTTGATCGTGCTTTTTGTTCGACACTTGTTGAATCGATTCAGTGCGTGTACTTAGTGGGTTTTTATCGTATTTTGGCGTAACGCTAGTAATGCATCATGGGTCAAACATAGTGTTGGCAGTAGGATGTCCTCAATACGCAGCGTGCATCAAAATACTCTACAAGTAGCATTGCGTTCACGATGTGCACACGAACGGTGTGACAAGTCCATTGCGCCTATGCAGCAATGTCCTTTCTCTTCTTTTTCGACCTTGCCGTCCCATCCTTGGCATCCATTTCTGTGTGCCGTCGCTTTCGTTTTTCTTCAACTGTAGGGGCCGCCTCTTCTGTGGGAGCGACGCATACTTCTGCCCGTTCTGCTCGTCGTTTGAGGGCTGCTTCGGCTTGCTGTAGATAAAATGAGATTTTTTGCGGACTGCACAGTAAACACGTACCTTTTGTTTTCTTTGTTGAACTTCCCAGGCCTCCCGTTCATGGGGCTTGAGGAAATACTCTCCCGACTCGAGCTAAAGGTCAACCTAGACATAACCAAACATCAGCACTACTTGACAACCAGCAGCAGAGTGAATTACCTTCCGTGGTTGCTGTGGCGGGGGAAAGGGCGTGTACACTTTCTTCGCTGGTTTCTCCTTTTTGTCGAAACTCGATGCATCAAGGCCTGAAGCCTTGCGCGCTTCTTCCTTGGCAGCGACTTTCCCGTTCTTCTTCATCGTCTTTTCGGAGGTCTTCAGATGTTCCTGAACGTGGGGAGGAACCAGTCCCAGGACTTTGTTGCTAATTTGGGATCTTTTGCGAGTTCCCTTCTTATCATGAGTTCCTGCGAACGTTTCAATAAAGCTGCAGAAAGAACAAATGTTAGTTGACACACCTTGATGCGGTAGATGGAATGAATGTTTTTCATGCAATCAAGGACTATTCGTGGGACTTATTTTAGTGACTTGTACGGACCCATGCACGACGGTATTCCCTGTACGAGAATATAGCACTGAGTCAATAGCTCAATAGCCTGAAAAAAGTCAACGACATGCGCACAGTCAAAAATATGCAACGCTCACCTTCAGTGTACTACCATCCGGTCCAATAATCCGCTGTCTCCGCTTCACAAACCGGTCCTTATTACGCACCAGATTCCCAATTTTGATGATATCGCAAGCCACGTCGTCCTGTAATACCTTCTGAGCCTGCGTGATCGCAACCCCTCTTGCGAGTAGTTTGATGAGGTCTCTTGCTTTGAGGATGATGTATGGATCGAATGTTTTATGTGTTGTCCGGACGGACATGGATCCGTGAACTAGGTCCAGTGTGCATGCGATGCCCTGGGTGCTGAGTTGATGGTGTACATCGTATGGCGGAATGGATGTGAGCACTCACATGGGCGTCTAGAACTTTGGTTACGGCGCTCCAAACCTCCCTCAAGTACTTTTCTCTGTATTTTGGGAAAAGGGTTGCGAAAGAAGATTCTTCGGTGAATACGCCGCCTTTGTTGTCATCTGCTTGGAATGAATCGATTTTCCACTGGAGTAGAGTTGAGTACGTGTTAAAGCATGTGTGATTTGGGTGCTCACACTGGAGAGGAGGTACGGTGAGAAGTGGTTTTAATTGACGTGCGGGCAATATTAATGCTCACTGGTCGATGTCATCGGTGTCCCATGCTGAAATGTAAAGTTGCCTTCACAGATTGATAAGGAAGGTTTGGAAGCTCACATTTTTCTTTGCGATGCCTCTTGTTTCTGGTTGCTCCTCTGAAGCAGCTGCCATCGTTGCGAATAGGATTGCTTCTTGAAGCTGTCGCGGTAAGTAGGTCTGGGCACCATCGGCCTAAAATTGCCTGATTTGGTAACAGGTGCGGTGTATCTTAATACCACGTTTTTAAGTTATTCAAGAGGCAAGAATGATTCTAGCCTCCTTTATGTGAGATCTAGGTTTATGGTAGAATACTGAACTCATGATATGAAACGGTTGCCTACAACGATTACCCTCAGAACCAAAGGAAAACAACGCTCGTTGGGACTCAACCCGGAGTTCTTCGATCAACCGTCACATCCGACAGGTCGCCCTGTAAGACGTCCCAGGCTAAGTATATGCTGAAATTGATTTATTAGATACGACTTGGACCCGGACCCTTAGCAAGCTCTGTTCATCAGCAAGCCTTCCAAGGACCACCAGCCGGGAACGGCATATCCTACCTCTTCTGAAAACATGGAGACTGATTCGTCATCTCGATCTCCCGGGGCGAATTGTCCACTGTAAGGGAAGCTCAGCAGATCCTCAAGATCTGCCAGTCGGGAACGGCGTATTCCACCTGTTGGCAACGTTTTGGTGCACATTCGGCACCCTCAAGTCCCACAGGGCAACGTCGACTCGACGTGTTGTCGAGGTAGCGACCACACAAGCCAAAAGGGTATGTTCAGCATATCGGGCCTTACTTTTCAGTGACGTATTTCAGGAAATTCCCAGAGGACTGTAGTTTCACGTCCACGTTGGACAATGATGGCTCAGTCCTCTAGTGGTGCCAGCCCTATTTACAGTTAGTGTCGACTCAGGAAGGCTTAGCTCAGGCGTCTATTGACGTTAGGCATAATCACCTGCGAAGCCACAGCTCGGAACAACTCGGCACTGTCATCTAGGCAAGCTGGACGACCAGGATATGCACACGGCCACATCGATGGAGAGGACCAGGAGAGCGTTGATCTATACGGAGCGGGATACCGAGAGCGTCAAAGCGCATGGATGCTGAAACATTTTCTGGAATTGGTTGTGCTAGAAAGGCCGCGGCGAGTTTCATCACATCTGGAGTGGACGTAGTCAATTCATGTATTGCATCAGCATTCTGATATTGCTCGTCTCCTGCTTGGCCATGTTCTGTGCACAGCTTGCTCTGTGTCAATATGTAATGTAATCCTGTTCTCCTGCAGCTCTCGCTATGCAGGCGTAGTAGAACGGGTCTTGGAGAAAGTCAGAGCTTGCCACGTCAGGGAACAGGAAGGATACGCACCAGTCAGCACCAGGCGACCTTCATCATCCGTGTTGTCTACCTCGACGGATTTGCCATTTAAATAGTATAGATTCTGATAGATAGTCGGTCCACAGGATCAGAAATGATGCGGCCCAGAACTTCAGAGATCGCTTGTAGCTTTGGGGCCGTATGAGATCTCACAAAGCAAAATGACGGCGACAACATTGGTGCTGCAATCAGGATGAGAGTGAATGCGGGACGAAGGCACGAATGGCGTACGCAAGTTGGAGCTGAGCGATGGCAAGTAGAGATGAAATGACTGCAGCTGCATGCATGGTATGGTGAGTGAAACACTTTCAAGTTGAAAAGCGATGGTCTTGGCTGATTACAGATGTTGGTAGGCCCGTGAAATGTCGATGGAGGTGATGATAAGAGCATGAAGTCGTAGTGAACAACCACAGGACCAGGTGCTAGCTTGCAATGAGCGGTAAGATAAGGTACACGTCAAGGTTCATATCATAATTTGCCTGATGCATCGAATGACTCAATTTAAAGACTGTCGACGACATTCTTCACACCCAATGGCAATTTGCATGGTTTTGGAATCAAAAGCCCTCGGAGTGCATAAAAAGCGGCGATCTTGGCAAGTCTCTGTGCCCATGTGGAAGTGAAGAGTCTGCAGCTGTGTTGCAGGTCCATACGCGCGTACTTCCCTTCCCGCGCGTTGAATCGTTACGTCACTCGATCATAAGACGGACTTGGTAGTCCAGTTGCAACCTGAGTCAGTGAACTCATGATATCATTACTCGCAGCAGAACCGTCTCATAAATATCAGCACCATTGTCTCATACTGTGCACAGGTCTCGTCTTGTGCTTGAAGTTTGAAGTTCGAACAGTCCAGGCTCGCCGAGACTGACTTGCACTTTGACAGCACCAGACCTGTTGAACTTCAAGGGGGTGCTATATAATTCGACTCTGGAGTAGACGGAGCTCTCTCACCTGTGCATCTCTCTTCATTGCACTGTGATGTGCACACAATAACCTGCCGCTATGAACCGATGCAAATTGCGTGGCTCGGAATGGTCAGCGCGCTTGAAGTCAATGTGCTGGCCATGCTTCTAACGTTCGGCCCCGGCTCTGCCAAAGGATTAGACGCCTGTCCCCTTCTCACACTCTTCTCATTTCCCCCCACGGTTTTATTCATACTGATCTACGACCACTCGCTATGAGTGAAGACCATAGGCCAGATTCTCCTCCAGGAGCCTCCAGATCCATCCGGGCAAATGTTGCTGAAAACTCGGTATGTGGTCTCTGAAATTCATCGCTGCCCTTATGCATTTTTCGTCCAGAACCAACCTCGTAGAGGATTCCGTCAGTCCCTGCGGAAATTGAAGAATGTGCTGACCAAAAAACTTCCTGTGCGTGGACGTGAATACTGACTGTCCTGAATACGGCTGATATCGTGCAGAAACGCTTCAAGCGAACAAGCAACCGCACCACTGCGGTCCAGAACGTTGAAATCGAAGGGGCTTCATCGGGTCAGAAAGTCGAGGTGAGTGCTTCTACTTGCCGTCCTAGTCCTTCGGTTTTCTTAGAGGCGCCCAGGACACGCTGCATCTCCATCCTTCCAACAACAACAAGCGTCCCACTACATCTGAGATTCCCAGTGACTCTGTGAACCAAGGGCTGTCCGGAGAGCCTGCTTCACAGGTATTTTTATCAAATTCTTTGATTTTCTTCTCTAATTTTAGGCGGTCCCATAGGTTCAGGCTGCTCCTGCTAGCGAGGAGGAAGGACCTGATCCCAAATTAGTCGATGCTGAGCTTGAGGGTGCTTGTGATGGCACGGAGAGCATGAGACCGCTCGGAGGACACGCGACTTCTATTGCATCCGCCGCCAACAAGGCCCCAGCGGGTCTCGCTGCCGCAGATGATTTTGAGACGACGTACCTCCAACCCCTAAAGATTATTGATGCTGTCCTTGAAAAGATCGCGGATGTATGGGCCATTCTTGTTGATTGGAAATGAACTAATCAAGTTGCATAGGTGCATCCGTACGCAAAGATGGCGCTGGGTGTGCTGTCTGCTGCATCCAAAGTACGTCCGGTTTCTTCAAGAGTCAGTCTTATACTCAGAAGCCATAATTCCACCTAGATAATACTCGCTCAAGCAGAGCGCGACGAATCGGTCCATAGTCTTCTCAAGAAGTTGGCTGAAGTTTACCGCTTCATGATTCAAGACGACAGTCTTAGCAAAATTGAATCGATGCGCGGTATCGTTGGGAAGATCGTTCAGCAGACTCTTGAGTGTGCCCGTTTCATCAGGGACTACTCGGAGACAAAGAGCTTTTGTGAGTCACCAAGCTGTCGCACTTCGCACATCAATCACATACTATTATCGTAGGGAAGAGACTTGGGAAAAACGTTCTCTCGGAAACCGATACCGTCATCAAAAAATACAGCGATACTTTGGACGGCCTTGTACAACAATTCCGTGACCAGGTTGACAGGGACGTGGCCGTCTTCGTCCAACGTACGGGTAAGGATTCTGACGCGCTTCTATCTTTACATTCACTCACACCGATTCAGGCGATACCCTGGATCTCGGGGATATCGCTTATGCAAAGGGCGCAGGACTCAATACCATGAAGCAATGCCTACCAGGGACGCGCACGGAGATTCTCTCCCAGATCACGGATTGGATCAACGGCAATGAAGACGCTACCCAACGAGTGCTTTGGCTATCTGGCCCCGCTGGCACGGGCAAATCGGCCATCGCTCACACGATTGCAAAGTGGTTCAGCGACATGGGGGTGCTGGGTTCATGTTTCTGCTTCGACAAGACCGAGGAACGCCATGAAAAGGTTTTCTCCACCATCGCTCGTGACCTAGCTGATCATGATCCGGAGATGAGACGAGCATTGGCAGATGCGGTCAAAGATTCCACCTCACTCAAGAACTCGAAGGATGTTTACCAGCAGTGGGAGAAGCTTCTTGTGGAACCGCTGAAGAAATCCTCTAAGTCAAGTGTGGAACCTGTGTTAATCGTGATCGAAGCGCTGGACGAGAGCGGCGGAGTGGAGACGCGGCGGGACCTTCTCCGCATACTTGGCGGTAAACTTCGGAACAAAGGTCTTCCCCAAATCACAGAACTCCCATCCAACTTTCGGATTCTCGTCACCTCTCGCCCACTTCGTGACATCGAAGATGCATTTCACGGCGCTCAGCATATTCTACAGTTATCGATGGACGAGATTCCAACAGCAGTGGCGGAGCGCGACATCCGTGCTTTTGTATCTGACAAACTAAAAGTGTTGTCGCGTTTTGGAGACAAAGAGTTTGCAAAACTCGCTACGAAAGCCGATGGACTTTTCGAGTGGGCACGTCTTGCATGCGAATACATCCAGGAAGACCTTCCCAGCATAAATCCAAGATCTCGCT